AATTACTAGTGAAAGGTTCCCGTGCATTTGTTGCTTCCCGTGCGGATGTGCGGTGGATTAATATGCGTGAGATTTGTACTCAATGTGCGTGAGTGTTGTGTTTAATGTGCCTGAGATTTGTACTTAATGTGCGTGAATGTGTAAAATGCAGCAGAAAATATTATGTCAGCTTCTTCCCCATCCCAGTAGCCATTTGCCCCCTCCCTGATGATGATGATGCGGAGGCAAGCTATGGAGGTTAAGAATTATGGGAATAATACAACCGAAATCCACACTTTGTTGCTGTGCAAATTTTACTGTGCGTGTGTTATTTATATAAACATTCAACTGCATTGAAGGTAGCTTATAACCCAGAATTTATGGCTAAATTGAAGGAAGAAGTAACAAGAAGCTTGGGCGTTAATGTGCGTGAGTTTCTGTTCTACTTCTTTCTGAGCTCGTAATTCTGAAATACTCAGGCACATTAAGCACAAATCTCACGCACATTAAACAGAATACTCAGGCACATTAAGTACAAAACTCACGCATATTAACATGACGCACATTAAGTACAAATCTCAGACGCATTGAGTACAAATCTCACGCACATTAAGTATAAACCTCACGCACATTAATCCACCGCACATCCGCACGGGAAGCAACAAATGCACTTGATCCCTTCCCTACTACTTTGGGAGCATATTTATATTTTTTTAGGGTTATTTGATGTTGAGCATATTTATTATATATACATATAAATGTACAGTTCAATTATTTGTTATCTATCTAGTTGTGAGAAAACGAACCTTTTAATGAGGTACTAGAGGTTGGAAAAAGAAAAAAGTATATGTTCATTTGTTGGGTGTGGCGAATCAAAATATGTATATACAAAGCTACTTCCAATTTCTTGATATGAGTGAATGATGTTTTTGCATGAAATATTTGTTGAGTATTTAATCTCATTTATTTTGTTTCGTACTTGGTGAATAAAATTCATCTATGAGTAATAATGATACACATAGTAGAATAGTGGTATTTTATTATTTTAAATTTACCTCATAACATTTATCTTGATATAATAATAAAATTCATTATATTCTATTTATTTCGGTTTCTAATATATATATATATATATATATATATATATATATATATATATATATATATATATATAGCGATGCACCCAGGTGCGAATAAGTGCCCAGAAGAAATATGTAAATAAATCAGCACGCGACACGCGTCCAGATCTAATATAATAACTTTAAAAAAAACGCGGTGGCATTTTCGTAAATAATTGAACATCGAAGTGCAAGTAAAATCACTTACAAGTGCACCTACTTTCACCTATAAGTGCATGTAATTTTGTCTTGTTAGCATTCACTTCTCGCAAACATTCATGCCTTTGGGTGTGCTTATAACTATAGGTGCAACTATTTATAACTATAGGTGCAACTTCTTATAACTATAGGTGCACCTACTTTCACCTATAAGTGCATGTAATTTTGACTTGTTAACATTCATTGTTCTGAGTTCAGCGGGTAGTAATACCCCTGAAAACCACCCGCAAACATTCATGCACCTAGGTGCAACTACTTATAACTATATGTGCAACTACTTAGAACTATAGATGCAACTACTTATAACTGTAGGTGCACTTAGTATTGATACTCGGTGTAAATTTTTACTTGCACCTATAATACATTTTACATGCACTTGTAATACATTTTACTTGCACTTCGATGTTCAATTATTTACGAAAATGCCACCGCGCTTTTTAAAAAAAATCAGTGTTTCTCATCCATTAGATCTGAACACGTGGACGGACAGAATCCATTCCTATTTCGCTCCTGGGCGAAGCATTCGCACCTGAATGCGATTCTATATATATATATATATATATATATATATATATATATATATATATATATATATATATATATATATATATATATATATATATATATATAATGGAAAATAAAAACATTTTTTATAGACAAATGTTTTTTAAAAATTAATCCATTGCACATTGTCTCTGCAAGAAAAATCACATATGGAATTAAGTTTTTAAATTTACCTATTCTTAAATCCTATCATATGAAACTCAAATATTTTTCAATGAATTTCTTTAGTTTTTTTTTTCTCTAATTTTTTTTAAAGTAAACTTATTTTCTTATTTTGTTATTTTATTTATTTTTAAAAAATATTTTTTTATTAATAAAGTAATTATAGTATTTTGGTTTTTCCAATTGAAATAGTTCATGTGCATAGGAATGTCGGATAATGATTTGGAGGGGGGACAAGACTGAAATTTCATGCACACTATATAATAATGTGTTTCCATCCTTTTTTATTTTATTTAAATTAAATAAATAAATAAATTGTTTCATGCTTCTGTCGTGAAATGAATTGTGACTAATCTGCGCGTGCCCCACCCCATTGGACTGACTAATTATTCTCCCTATTAATTCTGCTTCACACGCGGTCGTTGCAATTTTCAATTATCAAACGGCGAATACTATGCTAATATGCTTTATTTATGTAAATTTAATGCTATTATAATACATACATATTCATTTTAATTAAATATTTCAATATAATAATAGTTATTCATTTCAATGCTCGCCGGAGTTTGCTATGGCTCTATTATTTATTATTTTTTGAGTACGACTTTATTACAATATAATATCTGTTTATATATACTTTCTTAGTCTATTGGAAAATAAATAGTTAATATTTTTCTCGTTGTAACTTGAGTCCATGATTTCCCATTTGGAAGAGTTATGGTTCTATTATTGTGGTTAGTTTTTTTGTATGAAGATTTATGTCTTTTAAAATTTTTTTGTATAAGATTATTTAGAACCCTCACTTCTGCCATATTGACTAGCGGAGGAGGTAAATAATAAGATGTGTCTCATATGGCTTAAGGTTCCAAAATGCTTGTATGTTAGTGCCCACAACAAAGCCAAATCTATACCTCTTTTTTTTTTTTTTGGCATATCAGTTACTAGCATAACAAAGGTTACAAACTTATTTTAAATTAGTTAACTAGATGAGTTGTGCCCAATAACAATGAGTTACTGATAATATGATACTATGAAAAGTGAGAATATCTATTGTATTTATAATAAAAGAGTATTTTTTTTTTCACTCTCCCTCTCTAAAAACCTTTCTTTATTATTTTCAACTAAAGTAAAATATGTGAAATTTTAAACATATCTATTGTATTTATAATAAAAATTATTTTTATTTATAATATTAGATGTGGTGAATTGTGATTTACTATCTCTCAAATATTAAAAAAAAAAAAAAAAAAAAAAATTGATTGACAATCTATTTTAATTACGTACGTTGATAAGAAGACAATTAAAGAATTTAAAATGTTTGAAGATTTCAAAATATTATTTATGCAGTCCTACTATATTATTCTAATGATTTTATTTAAGGGTCCGTTTGGAAAGCAGAAAAATGACATATGAAAAATGAGTTATTTTTCGGAAAACATTTTCCTTTCGCGTGTTTGGCTGCAAAGCGAAAAACTGTCTTTTGTGCGTTTGGTTCATTTTCTGAAAAATGGGATAGAATTATATAATTAAACAGTTTATATAATTAATTATTTTATTTAAAATATAAAAATATTTATGTTTTTGAAATCAAATAATATTATTATCTATTAAAAAGTTATAAAAAATTTTTAAAAAAAAATTAAAAAGAAGAAGAAAGAGACGGCGGAAACCAGAGAGTAGTACTCTCTGGTTTCCGACCGTGATCTTTGGTTTCCGGCTGGAAACCAAAGAGCACCCCGGGACCTGCTCTCTGGTTTCCGACCAGAAACCAGAGAGCACCTGCTCTCTGGTTTCCAGCGGGAAACCAGAGAGTAGTAGAGCTGCTTGTGGAAAAATGTACTGCCACAAATCGGAGAACCAAATTCGAAGATTAGAGAACAGTGCATAATAGGTGTTGGTGAAGTCGCGAAAATTTTCTAGCCACAAGATGAGAGAACAAAGAATGGAAAATGACTTCCCCAAAAAAGAGGAAGCCATTTTTCGAAAAAGAGGCCTCATTTTTCATTGACTATGTGGCATTTTTCTTTGACTTCCATTTTCCTTGCACAGCCAAACACCAAAAACTCGGACTATTTTCCGGGCTTCCAAACACACCCTAAACTTAATAAGGTATTTATAAATATATCATAATATCAGTTAAGATTATATATGTATAGCCTCATATTGTTGAAATCTTATTAGGTATGGAGTAGTTTTCAATTTCAAGGCAAATTATCCCATTTATTAAAGACTTTCAAAAAAAAATCCCATTTATTAAAGATTACAATCCAGCCAGACAATGAATCACCAGAAATCTTAAGTAGACTTAAAAATTTGCTGAAATCTTTAAGATTTTCAACTAAATAGTGATGTAATAAAAGTGTTGAAAGAAGGGTCCACCGAAAATTTAATAATATTATTATTATTTATGTAATCTAACGTTGTTTCTAAAAATAAAAATAAATAAAAAATAAAAAAACATTGGCCTCCTTAAGTAGACTCATGGTTCAAAGTCATATCGAAAGTTGTTGGCAACACTCACTTGTCGGCCGGCTGCTCTGCTCTTCTATTTACACCTCACTCTCTCCGCGCTTCCTTCTTTCTCTCTCCTCCTTCTTCGCGGAAGTGAGCAAGTGCTTCTGGATTTATTAGGGTTCATTCAAGATTCCTCCACCACACTCCATCTTTCTCCTTCAACTCTATATTTGGTAAACAAGTGTTTGTATGATCCCTTAGAGTCTCCCTCCGCCTCTCAAGACTGTCTGTGTCCATGTATGTATATAAATATATAATGAATGTATCATCTCATTTCCGTATTCTCACACCAACACACAATTATCTTTCGATTTTTTCTTCGTCTTGTTGTTGTTATAGACATGATGTTTATCCATGATTCCTGAATGGTGTTTGCATAAACGAACGAGGATTGTTTTCTTGTTTCTTGTTGGGTTGGGTTGAATTGTTGAAGTGAAGGAGGATATGGGGTTTCCATGGAAGAAGGTGAAGAGCAGCAGCAGAATTTCCCAAATGGTGAAGGATCAATTTCACCACCGGAAGAACGCCGCCTCGCCTCTCGTCGTCGAGACCGGCTTTCCCACTTCCCTCGTTGATCTCATCGTCAATCATCGCGACCGCTTCAAGAAGCCATCCCCCTCTCCCCGCTTCAAGAAGAAGCCGCCGCCGCCACCGCCGCCGTTTGATCCGCCGCAGTCGCCGTTGCCCCCTCCGGCGCCATCCCCCACGCCTCTGCCGCCCACCTCGCCAGTGCCCTCACCACCCAGAACCCCAATCGCCACAACGGATGCCCACGAAATTGATGATAGCGGGGAAGGTCAAGAGGGTGCCTATTCGAATAAGGCGTTGGTGGCCCTTCTGAAGATCTTCCTGCTCGTAGTTCTCGCTCTGGGGGCTAAGAAGTTCGCGGTTGGGATCACCTTCTCGGCATTCTTCTTGTTCTTTGTAGATTACTTGGCAAGAAATGTGTTCAGATACGAGCACTTAGTGCCATGTCCAGAAGTGCGGGAGAACTTGAGGCTTATCATCAGTAGAGTTGTTAGATTAGAGGAAGAACCTCTGCAAAAGGAAGGGTCTTTAGAACTGCCACCAGAAAGCTCACAATTTGAAGAAATCCAGATTGTGGCACCCATTGACAAGGTTCCATCTTATTGTGGCAAAAGTTTCAGACCCGAAGGGATAAAATCAATGGCGGAGCTAATCGAGGAAGATGAGGACATATATGAAGTTCCTGAATCCAAGAATGTAAAGTCTCGCAGGGCTAAAATGAAGTCAAGAATGAAGAAACTTTTCCCAAAAAGGATTGGGAAGACAGGAAAAGACCCGAAACTCGAAATAAATCCAACTCGAGAGGAAAACGAGTACCCTGAATGTCCCGAAAGAGGATTGGAACCTCCCACCATGGCTATGAACATTACACCTGATGTGAAAGATAGCAATTCTCTGGAGAAATCAGATTTTGTAGAAAGAGAGACGAATTACGGTTACTTGTTTCTTATTCTGGTTGCCCTTGTTGGACTAGTTACTGGAGGTCGAATTTATGCACTTCTTCTTACCTTGATGTGGTGCTTCTTATCAAAGGTGGGAGGAGCTATAAGGAGAAGTGTAAAGGTTTCTTAATCAGTTTGGAATATATCTCCTTCACTATGCAATCAATTCCAATCTGTTAGAACAAATTTGTGGAGTCTATGCATATTTGAGCTTGTTCATAGAAGCAGCTGCAATTTGGCACTTTTTGCCATATTGTTGTCTGCTTATTATGAAACTCAGATTGTGTTTAGGCCCTTGAGGGAATATTCAACCTTTGGTTGCTTACTCAACTACGATTATTGTACCATGACCTGTAAATTTACTGATACAAGATTACGATGCTAACATTTATTCCCGAATCAAAATGTTTATTGCCCAGAAAAAATGCTTGACTCTGTTCTTTATTACCTTCTTTATTTATCCCTGTATTTGAGACGAACAAGAAATTGAGGCATGACCCATACTACACTCTCCTAGTATTGTTAAATCATCTGATTTCTTGCTTCATCTGCGTTATTAACTGAGAAGTCAAAGATCATTAACCTTTGAGAAGCAAAATTCTGCAACTGTCTACTTTCTAAACGTTTGAAAAGCGTTTGTATTTGGATGAGCATGAGCTGTATCCATGTGGGGTAGCAGCAAATTAAGGGTGGTTGGTAAATGACTGTTAGCTGATTGGATTAGTGGGTTTGATTAGTTGATAGCATTAGCTATTGTTGAAAGATGTTTGGTAAATTAGTTGTTAGTTGATAGCTGATCTCATGCAAAATGATTTTCTCAAAAAGTTAATTGAAAAAACTACTTTTTAAAATTTTATTATTTTGAAGCAATAAACGGTTACAAAAAAACTAATTAATCAAGCACTTATATTAATTGTTTAAAAAGCCAAACAATTAATAGTGATCAAATAAGTCAAAATAAACTAATAAGCTAACTATGTTACCAAATAGGCCTAAACCTTTTGAATGTGCCGATCTAAAAAAATCATTTTCTCAAGGTAAATTATGGGTTGCACAAAGGGATTTCTTCCCTCCAACTTTCCTTTTTGGCTGAAAAAGAAGTTTAGAATATTATTCCATTCAAATTCTTGTTGAATCCTTAAAGAACATTCCTAACCATATCTCTTCCTCTTCTTCGTATGATTGTGCCTTTCTCTCTCTCTCGATAAATCTGCCTGGGAAATCTCAATATGGCTGCATAGGATTTCACTCTAGATTTGTCTTTCAGGTGAAAACTGTAATTTCTTTTGTGGAAGCCGGTGATGCTTCTTATAAGGAATACAACTGCAAGGGTGTATTTGGTTCGCACATAGGAATCGGAATCAAAATGGGTATCAAATACTTGGTAATGGTAATAGGTTTTGGTGAAAGTATTTCACAGGTAGTAGGGTGGAATGGGAATGGTTACTAATAGTAGTGATTGAGAATGAATAAGGGAATGAATAGGTATGAGTTTTTCAATTGATGGGGTATTCGAAACCCATAGTAGTGTTCTAAAACATATCAACCAAATAACACAATCACTTTCATACCCATTTCTATGGACAAAACCCACCAACCAAACACACCTTAATTTCATTTTCTCTCTGCATTATATTCTCATGCGAATCTCTAAGAGCACTGTGATCTAAGATCGAGTTTTTCTCCTAAGTAATTAGAAACCAATTGGAAAGGAATTAGGAATATACACCTAACTATTGTGCACCATTTAATCGATAAATCTGCAGACTGCAGGGGAGTGCTGTGAATTTTGTTTACACTCTTCACCGCTTCCTTTTCCATATGAAGACAGCAAGCTATTGGTAAGTCCTTGTGCCTATTCTAGTGATCTATTACTTAAATGCCATCTTTCTGTCCAAAATTGGCCGGTTAAATTGGCCGATAAACTAACTATGTTATCACAGTCATTTTATCTGTGTGCCAGTATGTTAACGCCATTTCCTGAAAACTCTTCTTGATCTTAATATATTATGATACACTTCTTGTATGTGGCCGCCTTGAACTCAGTATTTCCTTACAAAATTCTGTTTTACGATTTTCTGCAAGGCGCTGTATATATCGATTATACAGCATTCATGAAATTTAATTTGATCATATCACAATGATGATATAGACTATATTACCATAACTTCACTGATTGCTAAACGCTAATCAAGGTCTATGACCACTGCTTCTGATATGCTCAAGTTTGTAATTGCAGTCGTGGTACGTTGTGACTTGTGAGGTTGATGTCCACCGCTTCTACAGCTCCTGCCGTGTTTGGAGGATATATTGGATGTATATTATACAAAATAATATGGCCATGTTTGGTAAAATAGCTTAATAGCTGTTAGTTGTTAGCTGATTGTGTTAATTAGAGGGTATAAATAGTTGAAAACATTAGTTGATTGTAGAAAAGTGTTTGGTAAATTAGTTGTTAGCTGATAGCTGTTTGATATAATTTCTTTTCTCAAAAAGCTAATTGAAAAAGTTGATTGGAGTAACTTTTTGAATTTTAACCTTTTGAAGTTGCAAAAAGCTAATTAACCAAACATTTATATTGATATTTTAACTAAATCAAATAAATAATAGTAGTCAAATAAGTCAAAATTGGCCTATAGGCCAATTTTTTACCAAACAAGGCCGATATTTTTAATATTAAAAATATATTATTTATATACTGAATGTATATTATTTGATGATATATAAAATAATATACTTTTAAATAATGTATAGTATTTTTTATTTATGGTCTACACAATTGTGTGGACTATAGTCCACAGAATAATGATTGTCCGTACACAATATCAAGGTATTGATATGTTTGGGAGAAGGTATTGATATGTTTTGTTATGAATATTATTGGGGATTGTAATCCTGGTCTACCCGCCCCGCCCCATAATAATTAATGGGCCAAATTATACTATGGTTTATGGATCATTCATAAATATTTATTTTTCTAGCCACAATTTATATCCTACACCACGGTGCATGTTGCATTGTGCGCCCAGATGCAAAACGACGTCGTTTCAATTTTTTTTTTTTTTTTAATTTCCCGTCCCAGTATTTGGCAGTTAATTTTTCTTTAAAAAAAAACCCATGTTAAAAAATGTACATAATGTTATACATGAATGTACATAATTGTATAACAAAAAATACATACTGTTTTTAAAAGATAATACACATAATCTAACATAATACATAATAAACATAAACTTTTAACATAATACACATCAACTCTTAACATAATACACAAAAATTTCCTGATTCGGATATACATAATTGTATAAAAAGAATGTACATAATTGTATAAAAAATGTACATAATTGTATGAACAAATATACATAATCACAACAACTTCCTACCGCGCCTCCTAAAACGACGTCGTTTTGGGAGGCGCGCGGCGCACAGTGCTACGCGCGCCGTGGCGTAGGGTATAACGATTGATTTTTCTATATCTACACACAATTCTAATAAAAGTCAATAATGTTAGGTCCTTAACTGGAATAAAAAAATGTTGGTTCTATTGTTTCTTAAAATGAATGGTTCATATTATTTCGATTTTAGTATTTTTTTTTAATGATTTTCCTTATTTACCATCTTTTATATTATTTTCTTCCCTTAAATAACCTAAAATTCCGTTAGTATAAACTTTAGTTGATGGGGAATATACCCTGGGTTCAGGCTCCCCGTACGCTCCGTACTCCTATTTGAGTTGGGTCAAACGGTGCGGGTCAAGGCCAACGGGTCAAGGTCAAACTCGACTTGGTTTGACCTATATAAGGGCATTTGACCCTCCATTTTAAGGGTTCATTCCCTTCTCCCCTCCACACTCTCTCTCTCTCTACACACCATTTGCTTTTCTTCTCTCTAAACATGCAAGAACAACATCAATAAAAGAGATCCATTTGAGCTAATTTTTGGGTACTCTCTACATTATTTATACATACAACATACATTCTACATATACCGGGTATTAACCATATCATTTTGGCGCCGTCTGTGGGGATCGTGATGAAAAGTTACATTCCTACCATCAACTCTCTACATTATTTATACATACAACATACATTCTACATATACCGGGTATTAACCATATCATTTTGACGCCGTCTGCTGGGATCGTGATGAAAAGTTACGTTCCTACCATCAAAAAAAAAATTGTAGAGAAATTCTAGAAAACTGGAAGGATTTGAACCAAGGTGTTTAAGCACTCAAGCCAGTGCCCTAACCACTGGGCTACACCACTCCCTTTGTTAGTTCATTTTCTGTTTCTATTGTTATTCAACGGATCAGAGGAAGGCCAAAAGCGAAGAATTTTTCTTGAAGGAAACACAGCAACGACATGTAACTTGTGGTCACCGGTCACCATCACCATTCTCTGTTGCGAAGCTTCAATAAAGGTGGAAGAAGAAGGAATAAAGGGAAAGGAAGGAAATTCTCATTAAACCATCAAGGAAGCATTCATCCGTTTATTTGTACAGCAGAAGAGAAGAAAAGCTTAGAAGAAAAGAGTGCGAAAAGCAGTTATAACAGCAATATCAATTTCTAACTGCCAAGGACCTAGGATGGTGACAAGTGTCAAGCCAAGATCTTTCCTGTTGATCTCCTGAAAGCCCCCCTCAAGCTGGATTGTATAAGTTTAGCAAGCCAAGCTTGGAAACAGAACTCTGAAAAGAAGCTGGACAATGAGTCTTGGTGAATGGATCAGCCAACTGATTTTCAGGGGAGATATGAAATAGTTTGATGAGCCCTTTGTGTAGCTTTTCTCTCACAAGATGGCAATCAAGTTCTATGTGCTTAGTCCTCTCATGAAATACGGGATTTTCTGCAATTGCAATAGCAGATTTGCTGTCACAATATATGGCCACCTCCTCATTATTCTGTATTCCAAACTCTACCAGTAGAAACCTCAACCATTGAATCTCACATGTTGTAGTTGCTAGTGCCCTATATTCTGCTTCTGATGAGGACTTAGAGACTGTGGGCTGTTTCTTAGACTTCCAAGAGATCAATGCACTCCCAAGGAAAATGCAGAAGCCAGTCACAGATTTTCTGGTGTCAACACATGCTCCTCAATCTGAGTCAGAAAAGGCTTTTAGGTGTAGGTCA